CCAGAAGTCAGGGAGACCAGAACAAAACTGTCTTCCAGACATGATTAAGACCGCTGCGTTCACACACTCATATCTGCTATAGGTACCTACATAAGATCAACCCAGCATTCTAGCTTTGAGTAGAAAGAGGTCCATGAGCCCCTACCCCTAATTGAGGAGCTTCAGACAGTTGATGGGTTCTGGAGGACTGACAGTCAGTTTCCTATGTCTCCTACTAGGTTGATCTCACTTTAGTGGCTAGCCCCATCCCCAGTAGTCTGTGAGTAGCACTAACTGGAGCCATTGGGTTATTAAAAACAAAAACAAACAAACAAAAAAAATGAAGTTGGATCAGAGAAGCAATGAGGATCTGTGGCTCTGGAGGACTTGGGAGAAGCCTAGGAGTACATAATAAAAATACATTGCATGAAATTCTCAAAGAATTAATAATAAAAATATTTTTTTAAAAAGTCTTTGAAATAGTAAGAAGAATAGGTTGAAAGCCAAGAGAAAGTGCTGGCCTTGTACAGATTCCGTTGTGATCGGGGGGTGAGATGGCCGGAGTATTTTGGTTCTGATGTTGATGCAATAAAAGGGTTATTGATGGAAGAATGAAGTAGTTCTCATCTCATAGAAATCCTCTTTGTCTATGAAATATACTGCAAGGTCATCAGCTAGAAATGGGGTTGGGGAGGGGAAAGTTAGAGACTTGAGGAGGGAGAAGGAAGTGTGATGGCCTCCCCAGAGACTGGGAAATTGAATTTTCTCGGGAAGGGTAGTAGGTTCCTCTGAGAGTGTTGAGTGAGATTTGTGGTCATGGTTGCAGTGGCTCTAGTCAGCAAATTTGTGTCATTTTTCAGCTGCTCTGTGCAGGCCCTGAATGAGGGGGTGGGATACCAGGGCTGGAGCTCTGCCAAGCTGGGACAGTGGTAAAGGAGCTTAGGGAAGCTCAAGTTATTGACAAAGGGTAGTTTTAGTGTTAGGTTGTGCAGTCCGAGCTGGATAAAGAGGAAATGAACGCACACAAGGAATGATAGACACGGATAGCCAAGGGGTAGCTTTTAAATAAAGTAAGGCTGAAGGATTTCTGGGCTGGGATTGTCCGTAGAAGTGAACTCTAACTAAGGTGATGGTATCAGAAGTGAAGTTTCAGAGGTAGGCGACTCAGTGATCAGTGTGACAGAGTCTAAGGAATGGCTATAGGAGTGAATCAAACATTCATTAAAGCCTTAAAGCCAGGGTATCAACAAAATCAAGAGGCCAGGGTATTGAATGGGCCATTTTTTATAGAAACTGAAGTCCCTGACAGTGACAGCAGGAATAATGATAGAGGAATCAGTGGTCTAGGTGCTAATCACATGAAGAGTGCGGGAGGAATGCATAGGAGGGTGGTTGGATAACAGTGCTGTATATGTAGAAAGGCTACTATGAAATCCGACGATGAATGCTTCAAGCAAGACTTGAGCTCTAAATAGAGTGTAGAAATTGCAGTGGATCAGGTGGGGTGGATGCACACCAAATTCTCATGTACATAGGTCATGGAAGACAAACTGGAAAGGGCTTCTAAAGAATATACCTTTCTGCCAAAGCTGAATTTCACTTAAAGCAAAGGAAGGAAGGAAGGAAGGAAGGAAGGAAGGAAGGAAGGAAGGAAGGAAGGAAGGAAGGAAGGAAGGAAGGAAAGAAAAAGAAAAGGGGGAATCTTGCAGAATGCACGGAGTTTTCCAGAAAGTATGGGGGCACAGGATGTGGGTACAGCATGTTTATACTGTCGCATACAGTCCAGGAAATAGAGTCCTGATGACAACTCAGGCATGCTAGGTCCATCCTGAAAGGCACAAAACTCTCTGAATGAAGACACTGATTTCTGCTTGTGGTGGAGATGTAGAGCCTTCAGCTGGAAACCTGGGAAAGAGCAAGCAGCTAGAAGTATGTACGATGTCATGACTGAAGATCTGGGTAGCTCACACCTACAACTGGGTAGCTCACACCTAGAAGTATGTCAGCTATCGACACAGTAGTCATATCAGGAGAACGACAAAGAAAGAAGAGCCTTTAGGAGCCTGCAGTTAACACTATTCTCAAATAAAGACTATGAAGCCCAAAGAGTTAAATAGCTTGTCCAAGGTCATCAGCTACAAAGCTTATTCAAAACAGAGCTACACGTAGTTTGCATACACTGTGTGTCTATGGCAGGTGAAAGAGCAAGAGACCCAGAGTTCTCTGGAAAAGTGGGAACTGGATGAGCTAGGAGAACATGGTGTTGCTGTGCTGTTTGAGCCTCATGCTCATCGTGGTGGCCCCTATTAGGGACATGTACCTAATTTACAGAGACCACCGGAAACTGTATTTGCTCCATTCCTAGCACTCCCAGTGATACCTGGATGGAGTATACTTGCTTACCTGGCTTTAGGACCTCCATGCCTGCGTGTAGTCATACCTGTAGAGCAACAAGAAGATGACCTGGGATGTACAGTGGGTGAGACTACCCTTTAAGACTGGCCTGTGGCATCACCTGGACTGGCCTAGTGCTGATCAAATGGTTGAGTCACTGACTGAGTATCCTGTGCGCAGCAACACTTCCATGAAGACCAAATTCTATTAGAGGAACCACATTTATCCAAGGACTCATGGGCTTAGTTATAAAAGAGACCTAAGAGGTTTTTGATTCCATTGTCTCCTATCCAAACAGAAGCAACAGAACTTGCAGCCCAAAGTGCGCCATGGCCATGTGCTACCTTCTTATTTAACTTGTGGTGCCTATCTCAAGGCGTTACCCCATCCAAGGGTCTGCATCATGAACCTGATCTACCTGCTTCCTCCTGAATCTTGAAGGTGGAACAGGAAGAAGAGCTAGCCCCTATCTGGAGACCAAGGGCAGACTCCTGCCCAATGAATCAGGGCACCCGGAGAGCCCTTTGGCTATTCAGGAGAGGATGCTGATGAATTTGGCCCTGATGAGCTGGCTCCTGCCTTCCAACCCTTCTCTCTTCTCAGCCTGTGCAAGTGTTAAATACAGCATCAAATTAAGCAAAATTAAATACATTTCCATGCAGTATTTTTCTCTTGACAGAATCAAACAATGCGGTTGCCATAGTAACAGCCTCTTCTGGAAAGGTCACCTGCAAGAAACTGTGTTTTAGGTACAACTCAAGGAGATTATGGGGGATTAACTCATTTTATACATATATATTAAATATATATTTTTTTCTTTAAAGGGACTGTTATGAAGGAATAATATCCAACAGAGCCAAAAGATACCCACAGAAAAAAAAATTTAAGTCCCTGATAAAGGATTTTTTTTTCTTCTTTCGTTTTTTTACCCAGCATGCAGTGGATATCTGAAATGGCGACTTTGTGTTTTTACTTGGCTTTAATTAAACCTCAGTCGGGGCTGAGGAATGTGGTGAAGCGAGATAATTGCACTATTCCCAGTACAGTTTTTAAACTCCGGCTTTGATATGCACCTCATGACAGCCTGAACCTGCCCCCAGACTCCTGAGGCTGCTTGAGGCTCTGCATCTAAGCACCCCTCTTAACCTGGGGCACCAGGGAGCTGTATAGATGGGGGTCTCCAACGTTGGAGAAGGCTGAGACGGAGGCTCAGGGAGTAGATGTCACATCTCCTCTGGAAAGTTTAGCTCTAGGTTTTGGGAAGGCCGGAACGAGCAGACCTAACTCCCAAGTGGAGTGGGACCTTTCTTCTACTTTCCTGAGAGGAAACAGTCTTTAGGGCTGTTGGATTTGAGCTTCCATGCACTTCCTGGTGCAGAGCTGGCCGTGAGATGTTCAGGCAAGCTGAGGGTCAGTACATATTTCTCTTGATTGCCCTCTGTAAAGCTCTTAAGAAAAATCCCCTGGAGAAAGAGGCTCTGGCACCCCACAGCTTCTTCAGCCAACCCACAGTAGCACAGGTGGTACAGGTTCAGGCTGTTGTGGAGTCAGGGATGAAAGTCACCTAGCTGAGTCGTGGGAAGGTTTGCAGGACCCTTTTAATTCACCTATTTAGGACCATTTGCTTTCCAGACACACAGAGAGCAGGTAGCTGTCATGGAACAAGGGGCTCCGGGTCTCGAAGCACAGAGGTAAACAGAGGACTGTATTGGCTTCCGGGGCACTAGCTAGATAGCTTCTCCATCTTTAGGTTGGTCACATTCCCAAAATAATCCATAACTTGATAACCAGGGCTGGCAATCTCTGTGTGTTCGTGTGTGTGTGTATGAAGGAGGGGGCTGGGAGAGGTGGAGTCATGGGATATATGTACCTGTGATATTTAACCTTATGTATATGTATAAATATGACATATATAGAGATAGAGAGAGCCACATAACTCTGGCAATATGCAGTATAGATTACAAATACTCTCTGATGGCTCCTCTGACATTGTGGGTACTTTCTCTTCCTTTCTGGCCCCAGATTCCAATAGCATCCCTTACCTGAGCCTTCTGCTAAACAAGATAAGCTTGCATAGTTTAGCAAAGATAGGCAAACCTGAGCTTGAGTTCTGACTGGCCACTTAACAGCTGAATACTGCTCTTTCCTTCCTCATCAAGTGGGGATAACAAGAGCTACTGTCTTAAATCACAGGTCCTTATGGGGTTGTAGTGAAGATTAAATGAAATGACCTGAGGGATGGGGCTGGATAACGTAGGTGTTCACCGGATGTTTGTTGACTATTTGGAGAACATGACTTTTGTACAAAACAAACCGTGTGTTTCTTTCCTGTGAAATCCAGCTTGCCAGCCTGGGGACCACTGCAGAGATTAAAGAAAGAACAGCAATTTCTGTCTCTAATCCCCAGTACAATCACTGGAGGGTTTCTTAAACTCTTTTTAAAAAGCTACGGTCATCCAGGGAAGAATTTTATTTTTAGTGCATCCCAGCCCCCTGAAGGCAATGCATCCTTATGAAATGATTCCCCAGTGTCAGGCCAGACCAGAAAGACCTTGGTAAAGACTATGTCCACGAGTAGAGTGGGCATAGCTGTTGGTTACTCAAATCGGCCTCCTTTCTTCATTTAGGACGAGAAAGGGCTGCCTTGTTTTTGCCATCCCCCAGCGGTAGACTCCGCATCTGAATTCTTCCAGCAGAGATAACCCCAAATGGCAACAGACCTTTCCAGAGAGCTACAGTCATGAGCCACTGGTCTGGTGTACTTACTGGGAGCCATCTCTAGTGGACCTGGTGGGTATCCCTTGACATCATCTGATTTAGTTAACTAGCACTGTTGCCTTGGCTGCTTTGGGGGCTTTAGCCATGTTTATTTTTTTTCCTGTCCTGGGTCTCATTGCTGAGCTTGTCAACTAAAACATGCCCAGCCTTTTAAAGGACACTTGACAAAGAGGCTGTCTCTGCTACCTCCAAGTTGGGAGACTTTGGCCTGAACTCTGCCTTTATTGTATGAACTTGGGCTAGTTACTTCCTACCCTGACCCCCAGTTTCTGGTCTGTAAAATGGGAATATGCTGTTAATCTCACAGTGCCATGCTGAGGTTAAATGAAATAAGATTCATGGCAGTATTAACTGTGGTAACTAACACAAAGCTGTCTCAGTGTGTGGCGGGCATCAGAATCACCTGAAGGTTATTACCCATACATTGGTAGGCCTCGCCTCTGTATTCAGTAGGTCTGCTGTCGACCTGAAAATTTGTATTTCCAAACTCTCAGTGATGTTACTGGTACTGACGCCACACTTTAAAAAGCATTGAGATCATGGTCTGCTTTAATTAGAACCTTGTAGGTATCTAACTTCGCTTATGAAGGCATTCAAGTAGACTGAATTCAGACGAGGGTAGTCCAACAGCACTTTCCACGGTGATGGGAATGTCCTTATGCTATTCTGGCCAGCTTAGTAGTTGCTTGCTACATGTAATCACTAAGCCTTTAAAATAAGGCTAGACAAATGTGGGACTGAATTACTTTTACATTTAATGTTGATAGCCTCATATGACTATTACCTAGCATATTAGATGATACAGACCAGATTTCTATAATCCCATCTTAGAAAAGCTATATCCAATGGCCAGGGAAATGAATGGCATAGCAGATATAACCTCAAGATCTCAGATTGGGGTTAAGACACAACATTGCAGCCACCTGATCCTTCAGTATGTTCTCAATACTTAAAGACATTCTGAAGCTTGGAGATCAACTCATGACTCTCTACCCTTCCCTCATATACCTGAATGTCTAGGCACCCTGTTCAGCCTATGAGTCAGGAACAGTTGAAACACAGGAAACAGGGGGTCTGAGCATCCAAATGGAATGATGATGGACCTCTTAGGGACAACGGCATCTCTTCTTGGCAGATATGTGCTATGTGGTACAGGGACAGAAAAAGATAAAAGACATCCTCTGGATGGAAGAAGGGGGAAAAAACCTAAAGCAGTGTTGTAGGAGTCCACTCTTTTGTTCCGGGCTGCCAAGACTTGAAATAAGCACTCAGAAACTATATTATTTAAATCATTGCTTTGGCAGTCACTTAAGTGTATTGCTAGCTAGCTCTTACATCTTTGGTTAACCCATTTCTATTAATCTGTGTATTGCTATGTGGCTGTGGCTTACCTGGTAAAGTTCTGTCTGGCATCCAGCATCTGTCTCCAGTTGGGCTACATGGCTTCTTCCGGCTCTGCCTTCTTTCTCCCAGCATTCAGTTTAGTCGTCCCACCTAGCTCTATTCTACCCCATCACAGACCAAGTCAGCTTCTTTATTCATTAACAAATAAAGCACCTCATAGACAGAAGGACCTCCCACACCACAGTGTGATCTGCTAAAATATGGGGGAACAATAGGGGTGGCTAGAAGGAAGATTTCACATGACTCGAGCAAGGCAGCTGGTAAAGGGTTGAAAGGGAGGAACTAATTCCTCATGGTGGTAGAGAACGGAAAATGTGAAAATTATATCTATGGGGCCAGAAAGGTGTCTCAGCAGTTAATCACACTGGCTGCTATTCCAGTGGACCTGGATTCAATTCTCAGCACCCACATGGTAGTTCAAAAACATTTGTAATTCCAGTCCCAGGGAATTTGACACCTTTTTCTGGCCCCTGCAGATACTGCATAAATGTATATCACACACACACACACACACACACACACACACACACACACACACACACACAGGCAAAATACCCATACACATAAAAAATAAGTAATTTAAAAAAAAAATAAAAGGGAATGTTGTCTGTGGCTCAAATAAAAAGATGCTTGCTCTCAGGGCTCTTCTGTGTGTAAGAAACCAGAGGGGTGCTACTCTCTTGGAGTCACCCTGGCAATGCTCGCTGGAGAACATTTCATCTCCTGCTGCCTAGAAAAAAAATCGTGTAATGCAGCAGTGAGGATCTCTGGTCCTGAGAGTTCACAGAGAGCTTGCTTAAAACTAGCTGTGCCGCTCCGTATCCCTAGGACCTTGGGCAAATATGCCACCTTTTTTGTCTTGGTAAACAGAAGTGATTGTGGTATGCATATAAAGATGTGTTTTTGAAAATTAAATGAGATAGTAGATCCCAAATATTGCTTTAAAAAGGGTGCTTTTTCAATGGCAAATATTATTGCATACCTGTACCATCCCCCACCCTCACACTAGCAGTACAAGAGCGGAGACTCTGGGAGCCTTTCCTAGAGTGTGTCTTATCCTGGGCCCTATGACTGAGTAGAGGTGACCTCTCTGCCCACAGGCCCCCCAGGGGTGTGCTTTTGCTCCACAACAACAACCATGATGGATTGTGGTGCCTGATACAGCCAAGACACAAGAAATAGCATCACCAGAAAACCAACTTAAGCCTGGCCTGATTTAGTGCAGAGCAATGGCAGCTGCTGTGCTCGGCTGGCTTCCACCCAGCAGAAGGCTATTTTTTGCAAATAAAATGGTAAGTTGCTAATCAGAAAGATAAATTAAGAAGCATTAAGATAATGATAGTCTAATCACTGTCCACACAGAGAATTGCTAGAGTGAATATCCAGGCTACCAAGTGCTTGAGCACGTTTGGTGATTATTTGTATTATGAAGGGAATGATGGATTCCAGGCCTGGAATCAATCTAGTTCAGGAAATACACAAGTCCAACCTCCACCAGGGACTTCTGGAGGTCAACTCTTCCCCTGATGGCCTCCATCCCGGGCTCTGAACAGCCTTCCTCAAACCGTTCTTCATCTGGCTGTCTCATCACCGAATGCTCCAACCTCTATGAAGGCACCTCGTGGTCCAGCTGCTTAGGTGCCCAGTATGACACCACTATGGGACTGTCTGGGCTAGTGGGGGAGGGCTCTACTTTGAGAATCACAAAATCGCCCTATCTGGGAGCAAGCTGCTGCACGTCAGAGGATGGGATCTAGGCTCCTCCTTGCCCTTGAGAACTTCTGGGTAGACGTGCTGTCCCATCATGCCTTAGAGTCTGGAACCATCAAGACCATGCAGATTATTGTCCCTTTTCTCTGTAGCTGGGGATCCAAGGCCTATGGGGCATGACTTGTCCACTGCCTCAGAGACCAACACAGGGATTTAGCCAATAGTCCTATTGACCTCTAGGATTCTAATGTTAGACTGAGAAGAAACCCTGAGAACCTCTACCCCAGGGCATCGCACACGTGTACAGCCTAGACTAAAGAAAAACATTTCCCATTCATAGTGAGAGGCTAGCAAACTTAGATTCGATCCAATATCGAAACCTTGGTGTCTCTTAAGCTCCCATGTCACTTCACCTACACACTTGTCTGTGAGGTGGGGATAAAGGGCCCAACCTATAGTTGTTGCACCTCACTTGCTGAGCTGGTGTTATTCCTACTGCTGCGTGGCACGAGAACCAGCAGGAAGTTGGGGAGCAATAGCTGGGTTCTAGGCAGGGGAGTGTGCTGGGGCAGCTTAAGAGAACGGACAGTTCAGTTGTCAGAGTTCAAGGTTAGCCTAGTCTGCACAGTGATTTCCAGGATGGCCAGAGCTACATAGACCTTGTCTTGAAAATGCAACAAAAATAATAGATAGATTATATTAAAACAAAGGTAATAAATACTCAAAATTCTTGCCTTCCTAAGCAGTCTACCTACCAGATATATAGAGGAACTACTGTGTGATATGTGCTACTGAGTCTCTTCCCAACTTCATATTTGGGGACTTGACTTTGATAGCTTAAAACTAACCATAGTGAAAATATCCTTCTAGAGAGCTGGTTAAGCCGGCACACCACTGGTCTTAGAAGATATGCCACAAGCGAGGGCTGTGGCATGGTGAGGTTCCTAAAGCATCGCAAGAAAAGCCCCAGCCCAGGGCCAGGCACACGATGCATGTTCAGTTCATGGTAGATATACCTAGGCAGCATGGATACTGAAAACAGATGCTGGGCTACAGTGCTGACCTCAAAGCTGGGCGGTGGTGGCACATGTCTTCAATCTCAGCACTCCGAAAGCAAAGGCAGGCAAATCTCTGAGTTCAAGGTCAGCCTGGCCTAAGAGTAAATTCCGGGACAGCCGAGGCTACACAGAGAAACCCTGTGGCAAAAACCCCAAACCAACCAACTAACCAATCAATCAAACAAATAATAACAATAAAACAAACAAACAAACAAAAACAAAGCAAAAAACCTGCAGTGGGCAGGTATCAAAAACCTGAGACCCTCCTATATTTGGAATTCCAAATACTCGCATCTTTAAAAATCAAATTAGTCGAAAATTAAATTGTAAAAAGCCAAAACATGCCTTAAAACTATTAGGAAGCCATTGAAAAGTAAAGAATTCAGGCTGGAGGATTGGCTCAGAAGTTAAGAGCACTTGCTCTCTTCCAGAGGACCCAGGCTGGATTCCTGGCACCCACACAGAGGTTCACAACTGTCTGTAACTCAAATCCCAGGGGACCTGATTGCCGTCTTCTGCCCTCTGTGGGATCTCCATACACGTGATACTTAGACTTGCAAGCAAAACATTTATACACAACATTAAAAAGAAAAAGAAAGAACAAAAGAAAGAAAGAACAAAAGGAAGAAATAAAGAAAAGAAAAAAGTGAAGCAAAGAATCCTATTGGAACATAAAATGTTTCCCCAGGGCTGGAGAGGTGGCTTAGTAGTTAAGAGTGAGCATCGCTCTTGGGGAGGACTTGAGTTCAGATCTGAGCACCCATGCTGGGTGACTCATAACTGCCTTTAGCTCCAGTTCAAGGAGTTTCCAGTGCTTGTGTGAGCACGCAAAGACACACA